CCTCCAGGCACAGTGAGATTTGTGCAGCCAAGCAGTGAGGGATCTGGTCTGCCTGTGCAATTAGCTAAACAAACGGAAAAGGCTTTGCTGACAAAGTGGCAACAAGTGGTCCTATGATAATTACAGAATGGTGTTTCTACATCACACCAATTGGACATGTTTAATCCCACACCAGGTGTCCCCCATGCAATTAAAACGATGCAGGGAATTAAACGGGCAGAGAGGCATGGGGGAGTAGACTCAGACCAGAAAACAAATCTGGAAGCATCAAGTCCAGCCTGGCTGTGTTCAGCAGCCGGGACACAGGACACAGTGCAGCCCAGTTCCTCAGAATGTCCTTGTCCCTGTGGACAGGGCCTCGTCCCAACCTAGGTGCCCTGGACTTAGTGTCACGACCAGTAAGTAAAGATGCAGAAATGGGGCAGGAAAGGTACTTTTTTAAGCAACTATTTGAGGAGGGAAACAGATATGTTTAATGACCATGAATTCAAGTTCTGCCATGTATTTAGAGTTGTTATGAAATATATTAAAACAAGTTGACAACAAATGCATTCCAGAGTTTATTAGGTTAGGCATGTGACATAAAACACAAAGGACAACAAGCAGGCTACTCGTTGAGGCGGACCTGAGATGCCCCTTGGTTTCTCAGAGTCATAAGGCCGACGCAGCGGCCAAGCCTGTCCTCCCTGCCCTGGGAAACAGTCGCGCCCAGGACAGAAAGAAGCCCTACAGAGAAATCCCACAATGGCAGAATTAGTGGACCACATTTCAAATCCACAGATTTAAAAATACTTACATTCTCATCTAGCGCTCATGCAGTGATGACTGACATTTACAGTCGCATCAAGTATCACAAAACAAGGCCTTATGAATGACCTAATTCAAGCTTCAGCCAAATATGCATAAAGAACCCAGCCTGGAAGAACGGTGGCAAAATCTGCAGAAAGGAAACCCTTGCAGATAAGAGGAACAGTGTAAGACAGAATTTCCAGAGTTTCTTCCTAAAATAGATGGGCATGATCTCCGAGAACAGGTCAAAACACAAATCATTTTTTTAAAAGCATTTCGGTGAGTATTAGTTTTGGGAATCTGGAATGGAATATGGTATTTGATTATAGAATACATGGAGAATTTTGATTATCAGGTTCTTTTTTTTTTTGGTTGACAAACACCACAAACCACACAGACATAGCAGGAGGTTTTGCAACCAGATAGGGACAGATGTTTTCAGGGATCATATCCCAGATTCCCATGCTAAATCTATTGTTTAAGGTGATGGAAATATGGAGGGGACATTACACCATTTTGCAGCTGCTAGAAAGCCATGCTTTCCTGTTTTCCTGATTCAGACAATGGAGAAGCTAAGGAGAAAAATAATAGGAAAAGGCTGTCCTATATTTGCTTTTAAAAACTGCATTATTTTGAATGTAGTACATTTTTTGGGTCAAATCTTGCCTCTGTTCTCTTAGTTTTCACAGGAATATTTGTGGGAAAGAGGGCTGGAATAAAATTAGCTAATGATCACGTCCATATTCTCCAAAGGTGGTTCGGTGATAAAACTCCAGGTCCTATCAGGATGTGTTCAAACAGGGGGTCCTGAATGGAATGTAAGAATAGCAACATGCACGTGTGTGTTTCAGGGAGAGAGATTCATTTCCAACTTAGTTCTTCCTATACCATGTACATAAACACGTTCGCATATGTGTTTAACTTTTTATTCCACCTTTTTGCCTAATCACAGGGAGGATGTTAGCCTGCATCCCTCCTGTCCTTAAGAAGAAACCCACTTGAGTCACTCACTTTTATGCTGCCTGGAAAACACCATTCGGCTGTGTAGCTCCAGATATCATGGCTATGATAATCAGGCATGTGGATGAACCAAAGGGACACCAGCCTCGAGGTCACAATGTTGAGTAGCAGTGCGTGCACCCTACAAAAAGCCCCACCAGGTCCACCACTCCCAAGGCATTTTCAGATAATTGCCCCACTTTTGCTTTATACACTCCTCAGATTCTGGGGTGGGGCTTGTTCTGCATCACGTGTGCAAATGAACAAGAACAAAGAGCAGGGAGCATCCCTGAAATTCAGGAAGGAGTATAGTGGGCTGCATCCTCTCCTTAAATGATCTGCCTTAGAGAGAGGGGACAGGACGGGGTGGGTTTGTTCTGAATACAGTTTTTCCAAGTGCATCCTGGAATTATTGAAGTATGGGAAATTCTATTTGGACAAAAGTCTCCATTGTCTTAGAGCTTGCTGCCAAGTGAAGCTGTCTCCCTTTCTCCATCGCCCTGGCCATTCTGCTGCTCGGCAGCTCAGGGACAGAACAGTGCCTGGTCTGTTGGACACAGTTGGAGGAGTCTGTACATGGCAGAGCCTACCTCTCCCATGCTCCATCCCTTCCATTTCTCAGGCTGTGTCATGGCCCAGGCACTTGGGGAGCTTCTGGATAAAAGGACTATCGGCCAATGGCCAAGCAGCACATTTCTGGGCATTTGTGTATCCACTGCTGTGGGCCCCCATCTCCCCAAACAAAGATTCACATCCCTCAGACAAAATGACAGAGGTATGAAATAGGAGAACAGCGTTTGTTGGAAGCAGCAGGGTTCATCAGATTCACTGCCTAAGGGCATCCAGTTCTGGGATCTTGGCCGCTGGTTCGAGCGGCCGGGAGACAAGGTAGGGCTCATCTACCCAGGCAGGGGCAGATTCTGCTGGAGGGGATATTGAGAAAATATTTATCAGCCTATTTCTCCCCTTGCATGTTTCACAGTGGGGATCTGCGGTCTTCACGCTGTCGGGATAGGGCGTTTTACCCACGGAGGGATTCAAACATAGAGGTCAAAATCGGGGCTGCACCGCAGAAGAAATCCGACTCTAAAAATGAGCGGGCACACTTGGGGACCTCAGCCAGTACAAAGTCCCACAGTTCCCCAGAGGGGCTTAGGGGAAGCCTAGAACAGGAATGTCTCCTTCCTTTTAGTGACAAGGTAGAATCATAAAAGCCTGGAGCTAAAACTTTTGAATTTGCATTTATTTCATGTAAGTGCCAATATTGTCAGCAACGCATCCAGCCAACTCTTTGAAATCATCTGAATAGTGGCATGGTTGGTTCCCACACAACAGACAGCCAAGGGTCCTATGGCCAGTGGATACAACCTTTGCCTCCTTGGGTGTTAAGCACCAGTATTTCAACTGAAATCTATATAATATTAGATGTCTTTAAAAAGCAAAAGTTCCAAGTACTGTGCTAAGTCCACCCAAACCTTCATCTTTCCTTACACCCACTCCTTCAGTTACCCATGTCCTTAAAAAAAAACCCTGAAATATAGCATCTACATTTCAAAAATATCTAAAGTATATTTATTTAACTCTGAGGGCCATGCACCTGGCAGCTCCTCGTGCCCCAGGTGTCCGCCTCTGGGACAGATGTGTTTCTAAGGCAAAACCAAGTAGGGCACCCTGGTTCTGAGAGGCAGATTTTGGAATCCCTAGAAGGAAACACACTCCCGTTCTGTTCTACAAGGTGACAGCAACATGCCTGCAGATGACCTGAGGTCTCCCGATGCTAGCTCTGACCATTGGTGAATCCCTGAGCTGCTTTCCAGTGACCCAGGCAGAACTGCGTGGGGAGAGAGTACTCTCTACCACTACATAGGGAAGGAAAACCTTTGCAAGCGAACATTTAAAAATAAATTAAAACTGCCTTGAGTGGTTTTTGTGGTTGCAAAAGATTTTAGCTATTCTCTTTTTCCTTCTCCATCCCATTTCCCCCACTTTTTTTAAGAAATAGAGAAAAATGTGACAAACGTTCTTCAAGCAGAAAGGGGACAGCGTCCTGCCTGCCCGGTCCCTTTCTTGCAAGCTACAGCCACAAGTCAGGATCATGTTCTCAAGAAGCAATACCAGCTGTGAGCTATGTTAAAATGCCTTATGATGCCAGCTTTCAAAACTCAGCATCTCATCCCCCTCACACAGCCTTAATAATCAGAATGAGAGACTTCTCAGGGCTTCGTCCATCTACGATCAGAGCATTTAAATCCAGAACAGCACGCAGAGAAGGCAGGTGGCATGTGAGGTGTCTCGGGGCTGCACTCACCCAGAGACAAGACGTCTCCAGCTTTTATCCTTGTGCGCATTCACCTCATCAATACTAAGTGTGTGTTAATGCAAGTGCATTTAGAAGGATTGATTCAAGTATTTGTGGAACAAACCCCAGGCTTCTCTCTCAAGCTCTTTGGAGTATGTGCTTTCAAAAACACTTTCAACTCACTTCATACTTCTCCCACACTTTCCAGACTTCACTTGCAAATAAACCCAAGACTATTAGAGACACTAAGAACTAGGAAATGCAATTTCTAAACTTCCAGCATCTTTGCTACCTAAGCAGATCAGTGTACTCTGGTCATTCTGCAGGACTCCAACCATAAAGCTCAGCAGGGCTTGTGATGGGAAGATGCATGAACACAAATGTAAAGAAATGTTTCCAGTCCTGAATATGTTCCTTTTGACCAAAGAAAAAAAAAAAAGCTTCTTACATAATTAAACAATTGATTTAGTCTCTGTTCTACCAAGAGGAACGAATCATTCCAATCCTAATAGCATTAACAGACCATCTTTTCTTCTTAGATGATTCCAGTGAGCAGAGAAGCAGTTCAAAACGAGCCCCATTAGCACCTGACTTGTAAGCCCTTGATCCAGAATCAGTGGCAGACATGAAATCAGTCACATTTGAATTTGACAAGATAAGTGAGTGAGAATTGTTAATATTCACAAAATTCCCGAAATGACATCCCAACCCGTTGCTTCCACTTCAAGAATACCACACACACATAGAAAATACCTGTATATTCCAAGTGGCCAGATTTTAAGAATGTTTACAACTGTTTGCTAAGATTCCAGTCCAGTCTTTTGGAAGGATGTGCCCCCCCCTTCTGACGGGGTGCGTAAAGCTCTGAGGATGGTGGTGGCCGATTGTCAGTGTCTCTGGGGCCATCTCACCTTCAGCAGTCCGTCCCCGGCGTCGGACTACGGAAAACAACCAGGACAGCATTGGAAGCTGCTGTGACCCGCCAAGCACATCTAGACCCCGGGAGAGGCCCATGTGCTCCATGCCCCAGGGAGGGCGACAGCCCTTAGTGAGCGCCCCTGGGCTGACAGCCTGGACAACGCCTGTCCCTTGTACTCCGCCTGCTTTGTGTGCTGGTCCTTGCCCTCCCGCCTCCCCGCACCTGCCCACCCTCCCACCCCCTCTGGGTGACCTGAGGCCTCCTTTACCTGTACTGATTCTCCAAAGCCCTGCTCTCAGCTCACTCTGGAGCCCAGGAGTAGCTGTCAGCTGCATTCTGGGGCTTTTTCTCCTTCTCCTCCTCTCTCTTTGCTCTCCGCTTGCGATAGACCAGTAGCCCTAGAGCCAGAGCCAGTAAGAGTAAGATGGCCACCACGGTGCCCAGGATGTAGAACAACAGCAGCTTTTGTCCGTCGGTGCCCTCATCGCTTTGTTTGGCTATGAAATCCTCATCTGTATTCTCCCCACGGCCAGGGGTGGCCATAGGGTGATGGGTGCTGGGCTCCATCCAGACACCAGGGGGCCCACTGGGAGCCGGCATGTGGGGTGTGGCCAGGGTAACGGGGGCGTTGCGTGGGAGGGAGGGTCCCTTTGCGGTGGGTGTCTCCTTGGAGGTACCCTCAGGGTCCCTGGTGGGCCTGGACGTTGTGGCAGAATACACGAGTTTCCCCTCTCTATCTCCCGCATCCTCCCCCTGGGAAGGCCCAGACGGCGGTGCCAGGGACGTGGGGCCCAGGGTGCACGAGACCCCGTCCGGGCCCAGCTCCCAGCCCAGCAGGCAACCGCAGCGGAAGGACCCCTGTGTGTTGAGGCACAAGCTGTCACAAAGGCCATTCTCCGTGTCCGCACACTCGTCCACGTCCTGGCACTCGGTGCCTTCCGCCCCGGCCAGAACATAGCCCTTCTCGCAGGAGCAGTAGAAGGAGCCGTCGGTGTTGGTGCACTCCTGGGCGCAGGGCGAGCGGCCAGGGGCACACTCGTCCACATCCCGACAGGGCCCCTCCCCAGGGCCGGCGGGCTCGTAGCCCACCCAGCACTCACAGCGGAAGCCCCCAGGGGTGTTGACACAGGCCTGCGGGCAGGGGGAGTCCTGGCACTCGTCCATGTCCACACAGTCCTGCTGACTAGAGTCCAGCTGGTAGCCCTGGGGGCAGCGGCACGTGTAGTTCTTCCCGTGAGGTGCCGGGACACAGGTGGCTGTCCCTCGGCACAGGCTGGAGCTGCAAGGGTCCCGGGAGGCACAGGTCACCAGGTCGTCGAGCAGCCGGAAGCCCGGCCGGCAGCCGCAGCGGAAGGAGCCGTCGCCCCCCTCGAAGCAGTCCTGCTGGCAGCCCCCGTTGTTGAAGCTGCACCCATACTGGGAGCTGACGCAGAGGGGGCCTGAGCTGCCCCAGTCAAACACATCAGGGGCCTTCTCCCTGCACATGAAGTAATCCTCCTGACCTCCTTCCCCGGCCCCACAGACCACGGTAGCTGCGGAGCCGAAGGGCACGGCCTCCAGGGAAGAGCTGGTGGCATTGAACGGGGTCGTGTAGTTCACCCGGCCTGGGCCCCCCAGAGCCAGAGGCTGGCACATGCCTTTGAAACTGAACTTGCACACAAAGCCTTCGATGTTGCTTCCTGGAGAGCCCGGGCTCCCGCAGGGGCTCTCGGACCACTTGGGGAGATGGCTGGCATGGGACGGCTGGGACAGATAGAGCAGCAGGGACACACAGCGCCTGGAGATGCAAGAGCTCCTGACCTCCTTGTTCCAGTTGGTGTAAAGCGTGTCCTCCCCGCCGCCCACCCAGCTGAAGCCTTTCAGCGGCAGGCTGGGGTCCAAGCACTTGGCCTTCTCACGCTGGAGCCCGATCCAGAACTTTCCCATCCGAGCTGCCAGGGGCGCCTCCGACTCCAGGAGCTGGGTGAGGGCTCGCTGGGTGTGCCAGGCCTCCTCCTCACTCCTCACCGTGGCCAGGTTGCCGCCGTTCCTGCTGCAGTGAAGCTGGGCCTCGGCCGCACTCAGCTTGCCCCAGTGCGCTGTGTAGCAGGCCCTGCCCGCGCACACCGCAGCCACCCTGTGAGCGCCGGCCCCCGCCCAGGGCTGGCCCAGAAGCAGCCTCAGCAGCAGCAGCAGCGGCAGCCCGGCGCAGGTGGCCATCATGGCCCCGTGTCCCTCCCGGCGGGAGGCTGATGGCCCTGCGGTGACAGCCACAGGCACAGCTGAGCTCCGAGAACAACCGAGGGCTCAGACGCAGATGCTCTGGCCCAGGGAGGAACACAAAGACTGAGGGCTTTCACATCCCCCTGACCCAAGGCGCATCCTGTACTGTTGTACTTCTTACTTCTTACCGGATACTGGGGCTTCCTGCAATGAATAGTGTTCTGACTCCTGTCGCCTTCATCACGGTTTTGTTGTTCATAGAAGAGGTCAGACGGCTGCGTTCGGTCTCTGGCTAATTGCTGGGGAAATGCAGCAGCGTGGGGGGGCAGGCGGTTCCAGCTCAGAGACGCCCGCTGCTTTATTTGGGCTCCCTTGTCTTTCCCATCTGCAGGACGAACTTAAATGGCATGCTACAGAGTAAGTGGAGACTTTGGGGGACTAGGAACTTGAAAAAGCTCACTTAGTAACCCATAATAAAATTCCACTTTGGTTTGCAAACAACCAGAAGAGAAAAAAAAAAAATTCTCAGACTTGAGACATGAGGCCACGGATGGTTATAATTTTCAGCCTTTTTTAGAAGCAAACTGGATTTTTCTTCTGCCTATCTCATGTTCCCTTTGGCTTTGGAAATCTTTTTTCTTTTATCCCCTCATCATGAACTTTAAATAGATGGGCAGTTTTTAAATAGGAACTGGGCCGTGGGAATGATGGATTGTCTTTACACAATGCCAAGCTCCTAAAGAGCATTAAACCAAATGGGATGAAATTTGGCAGTTTTCAGGGTTTCACAGTGCAAATATTGTGTTGTGAGGTGGCAGTGTCACAAAAAGCATCAGAAAGAAAAGAGGAAAATGTTTCTGGCCTCATGGCCCTGGACTTGCATTCCTGACTCCCCCGGCTCAGTGTTAGCAGGAAGGGCCGGAGTTCTGAGAATCCCGGCCACAGCAGGCCCCTTCCTCCCAGCAGCTTATCAAAGGCCCTTGAAGCAAAGGGTGCTTTTCCTGAAGTCGCAGATGTGTTACTCATTGGAGCTGTCTTCCCCCAGAAGTAGACCCTGAGACACAGATTTGGGACAAGCCATTTATTCGCGAGGAGAAGTCAGACAGGAATGGGGGGAAACCAGCAGAGGGTACCTGAGCACGCAGGTGACACTGAGTCTCCTGGAACACGGTCCCCAGAGAACACTCTCAGTTTTCTGAGCCAAGGAGACGGGGCTGTAGCAGCTCTCTTCCAGCTACCCTCCTCATTGGAAGCAGCAAATTCTTGGCACTCTGGGCTGACAGTGAGAACCTAGTTCACCAGAAGGAACACTCAGGAGGAGAATGGCCAGGGGCTACCAAGGGGCTACAGGCATGGCACCCGTGTCTGCTACATCTGCCCTCCACAGAGATTTGAGTTAGGGTGTCATGGGGGTTATTAACTCACTGGCTTTCAGCCTCCCCAAGGCATAAGGTGCCCATCTCAGACTCTAGTTAGAAACCCTTCAGAGGTGTCCTTTATGTTCTTCTTATTTTAATAAGACATTTGAGAAAGTCCAGGAATCCTCTCTCAGAACCCCTAGGATACCCTGTGCTCTTTGGTGTCATCTATCCACCCACTCACCTATCCATCCATCCATCCATCCATCCATCCACCCATCCATCCATCCATCCACCTATCCATCCATCCATCCACCTATCCATCCATCCATCCACCTATTCATCCATCCACTCATCCATCCACCCATCCATCCATCCACCTATTCATCCATCCACTCATCCACCCATCCATCCATCCACCCATCCATCCATCCATCCATCCATCCATCCATCAACCCATCCATCTATCCACCCACTCACCTATTTATCCATGCATGTATCCATCCATCCATTCATCCAGCCAGTCAATCAGCCAGCGAGCCAGCCAGTCAATGTTATTTAAGTCTCTACCATGCACTGGGTTAGGCACTGGGATTAAAGGAGGGAACTCCTGCCTTCATGACCCTTGAAGTCTGTTAGAGTGGACAGATTTGAACATGTTGGACAGTTGTAGCTATGATAGATACCACAGGGAGAAGTTGAGGGTGTCAGCAGATGTACTGCCCTGGTTGGGACGTGGGCAGTAGGACTGGCTCCTCTGATGGAGAATGCCAACAAAGCTGGAATCTAAAGGAGGAATAGTTAAGAGGGGGAATGATTTCCGTATGGGGGAACAGCACAGACAGAGGCCCTGTGGTGTGAAGGTTCTGACCTTTATAAGCATGTAAAGGACAGGCCATGAGACTGGAGCCTGAAAAGGGGGAGGGAAGACCCAGGGAAAGAGGAGCTCTGTGAGCCCAAACAATAAAGATTTGGGGTTTTGTTCTGAAATCCATGGGGAAACACCCAGGGGCCAACCTGCTAAGACTGCATGTAGAGGATTGGAGAGTAGGCTAAAGGGCCCCAGTAGTATGGGGGAGCCACTCAGCAGGCAACTGCGGGTTTGCAGGCACAGATGACAGTGACTTGAGCTGGGCTGGTCCCCTGGATTAGGGACAGCAGATTCAGGAAATGATATGGGTCTAGAACAGGCTGTTCTTGGCGTTGGTGGAGTAGGAGTGGAGGACATGGGAGGTATGCAGAAGGACTGCATCGCTCTCTGCTTATACCAGCAAGGGTTGGGGATACTGGAAGGCTGTGTCCACTGGAGGTGGAGAAATGGGGCCTGGACCAGAGAAAGATTGGAGGGAGTCTGCCTCTTGGGGCTGAGGATCTCCCTCCTTCCTTAGGACTCTGAATTCAACCCCTTGGAAAACTGGGGAAGTAGCCAGGTTCAAGGGATCCTAGGAAGGCTGGGGTCCCTGGCTACAGGCCACTGCAGCTAGGTGAATATGTAGTCTTCGTGAAAGGGTCAGTGTTGACTTCTTCCTGGGCGAAGAAGCTGCATTTCTAAAGCTTTATTTACAGGCCGGCGACTTCTTAACATTTTATAAACTCAATCTGATGATGTTGGCCTGGGTTTGCTGTACAACCTGGCATACACTCATAGCAGAGAATCTTCCTCCTGATTTAGCCTCCTGTCTGTGTAGCCCAGAGCTAGATTCCTCAATTAACTGGTGTGATCATGCAGGATTCACCCAGCATCCTGCTTGGTTGGTGCTTAAGAACGTGGGCTGAATGAGTGACTTACAGCTTATGAACCAGTCTGACCCCCAGATCTTTGTCAGGGTATTCTTTTGCTGGCAGCTCTTCATCTTTCACGTGGGAACTTCCAAATCAACTCCTCTTCACTTAGCCAAGTGTTGACATCATAAAGAAGAAAATGAAGCAAGGACATGTGCTGAGTTTATTCATTCATTAACCCAGGGAATATTGTAAAGCACCGATGGCAAGAAAGACCATGTACAGTGCAAGAAGCTCCCAGCTCTTAAATTTGTGGATACTACTTCATTATCTCCAGTAACTTGATTATCTCAGCCTTGCTCTTCCTCCCCCTCATCTGTAAATAAGGACATGGGAACCAGGGCCTCTGGATGCCTTTCTTAATCTAGTGTCAACAACAGTGAACTCATGTAATTATATATCTTTCTTCTGGAACTGGGGAGAAAGCAGACCAGTGAGAGAGCAGGGCCAGAGACCACTGCTGCCCTCACTATGCAGCAGAAGGAACCAAACCAGCTGCCTAAACCACATGGGTGCAGTTGGCCTCATACTGACCCAATGACTGTTAAATACAGTGCAGTTTCTCTATTGATTATCTCCCCTCCCCTTGTGCCTCCCAATTTCTGACTTCCACTCTGATTCTTGATCCTTCAATCACCGCTGGCTGAGCTTGGCTGAGTTAACTCTCCCAGGATCCGATGGCCTGAGGTCTCTAGCTCCAGGGGTCCTGCTGTCCTCTTCTACCCATAAGGAGGTGGCACAAGCATTTGGGGGGTGGGGTTGGGGGCACGATGCTTTGTGAGCTCAGCGGAAGAAGGAGAGCTTACTTTTACCAGGTGGGATTTAGCTGAGTTTACAAAGTATTGGAAATTGTTTGGATGCTGACTTGGAGGAGATTCTGAACCTCCTGTACTGAATTCCTCCATGGATGACAAGTTATCACCTTTTACTTAGAATGTAGCTTTTATCAAACCTCTCTGAAGATTGATAGTTAAAAAACAGGAATCAGCAGCGGGGAGACCGGAAAGCTTTCCTTGGCAAATTTTTGAATGCAAGCCACGTTAAATATTCTAGAACAATCATAATCCTATTAGCATGGTGTAAGCCCGGAGCCATGACCCCAAACTGTCTACTTTTATTCTGTACTCATTTATCAATGAGTACTGAGCTTTCTTTTTAAATTGTCTAAAATTTACTTCATATAAAAGAACAAATATTGTTAAAATATCTATACTACACAAAGCAATCTACACATTCAGTGCAATTCCTATCAAAATAACACCAGCATTTTTCACAGAGCTAGAACAAACAATTCTAAAATTTGTATGGATTCAGAAAAGACTCCGAATAGGCAAAGTAATGTTGAAAAAGAAAAGCAAAGTGGGAAACATCACAATTTCGGACTTTAAGTTATATTACGAAGCTATAATTATCAAGACAGTATGGTACTGGCACAAAAACAGACACATAGATCAATGGAACAGAATAGAAAACCTAGAAATGGACCCTTGACTCTATGGTCAATTAATCATCCACAAAGCAGGAAAGAATATCTAGTGGAAAAAAGACAATCTCTTCAACGGATGGTACTGGGAAAACTGGACAGCCACATGCAGAAGAATGAAACTGGACCACTTTCTTACACTATACACAAAAATAAATTCAAAATGGATGAAAGACCTAAATGTAAGACAGGAATCTATCAAAATCCTAGAGGAGAACACAGGCAACAATCTCTTGACCTCGGCCCTAGCAACTTCTTACTAGACACATCACCACAGGCAAAGGAAACAAAAGCAAAAACAAACTATTGGGACTTCATCAAGATAAAAACCATCTGCATAGCAAAGGAAACAATCAACAAAACTAAAAAGCTGC